AAGGTTAACCCTTATATCTCGAATAGCTGAAAATAAAGAAAATAAATACAATAAATACAGAAAGATACCTGAACAAACAATTAATTACTTAATGATTCATATCGTTATACTCTTGTGACGTCATAATGCGAAACAGCCACTCATTGACACTGCTTGGACGTTGAATATCGATCTATTATGTGATCCATAAATAACTAGATCGATTGAAATATATTAATTTCAAACATAGAAACATATAACGCGTAAACATTAACTTTCTATCTAAATTTCAATCAGTTTCTCATATAAATATTCCTTCTGTACGTAGTATATTTTCTAAACTTATTTATTTCATTTTCACTAGATTTACATACAAATCAATCTTGATTGTGTCGATCACTTATTAAATATTAATTTTGAATGCAAAAGCAGCAGACACAAAATGTCTATAGAATAAACAAAACCATTAATTTTACGCTGTTTGTACTTTAGTGTCATAAAGCTCGGACTCCCACTAAACGACTGTTCTAGTTTATTTTTCGTCTCCACGCATTTCTTGTGTATTCTGTATTTTGTGAAAAGTAATATTATTCTCACCATTGCTAGCATTCCCGAGCCAGGAACAGTGATCCGATACATTAGTTGTGTTCTTAAAGCTTGGTCTGACTGTGTTTACATACTCAGCCACATGCTTCTCGACTTCACCTTGGCAACAGACTCATGAATTCCTGGTCCGCGTGACACGAAAAACTATAGTTTTGCGCGTCTACACTACACATTGTCCGTGCCCTTAACCCTGTGTTACAGAAAAAAATATTGCTTGCGACATCTATCCCATATTTCGTCTATGCCCGAATTGCATATAGTTCGTACTTTATACCATACTGTATCAAGCCCAATGTTATCAACAAGATAGATTTCTATGTAAATCTAGTGAGAATTAAAATAAATAATTTTAGAAAATAAACTATGTAAAAAAAGAATATTTATATTAGAAACTGATTGAAATGTAAATTCAAATTTAATATTTACACATTAAATGTTTCTATGGTTGGCATTAATATATTTCAATCGATCTAGTTACTTATGTATCTCATAATAGATCGATATTCAATGTTTAAGCAGTGTCAATGATTGGCTGCTTCGCATTGTGACGTCACCCGAGCATAACGATAATATATCATTAAATAATTAATTGTTCACTCAGGTATCTTTCTGTATTTATTGTATTTATTTTATTTATTTTCAATTATTCTAGATATAAGGTTTAACCTTTGTAATGCTGCCGGCATGCAATCAGCGCCATAATGCATAGAACTATCGAATCGAAGGAATTTAAAATTGAATCTTGGTGAAGTCTAATTTATTATAACGAGTGAGTATGTACCTATACATATTTATATATTTTTGTCTTTTTATCTATTTAGTATACAATATTGCATTAAATCAATAAACAGACAGATCCATGTGCTTACTTAATTCTTTTTTATTTCTAACCTAATCCCAATTTTTCTTCCAGAAATTTTGATGACCGCGCGCACTGCGGTCGGTAGAGTCTGTGTTTGTTTCGCCTAATAGATTTCTGTTTTTGAAAGTACAGTGGCACCGACTAGATTATTATTTAGAATTAGGAACACGCGAAAGTCTAGTCAGTGTTTAATGCACGCTTATAAATTTTTTTTTCTGTGCATCGGTGGTCTCTTTATTTTATGAATCGTGACAGTAGAGTCACTTGTTCGTCGATGTCGATTTTCGATCGTGTTAATTCACTATCATTCAATAGCCACTAACAAGTTTTACAACTTGTTAAGCATTTACAGTATTTTCATACTTTGTTCCGAATACGTTTAAAAAATAATTGTTTGTTCCAAATTTTTAAAATTAGCAGTAATCTTTTTATTAAAAATACAGTTTCTGTAATTTAAAAAATAGGGTGTTATATTTGGCGTTTGGTTTTACAGGATCATCGCCGTACTTATGAAACCAGAAAACCTCATCGATGACCTCGCTGCTGACTTCGTTGCTGACTTCGCTGATGACTTCTACTAGACAAAATCGCCATCCGAGTGTTCGTATTCTTCGATTGAGTGAGTTGCATGCATTTTTGTTCCTCTGGTCCCCAATCATGTTATAGGATGAAAGATCCGAAATGACACGGGTGACTAGTTGTATATTTATTATTTTTGGCGAGTTCAGTGACCGCGGGTACTTTTCATACCCGCGAGTAGTAACATTTACTATTATATTTTTTCAGTTTAGGCTAGGGTCTTCTGGTAATCGAGTTTTTTAATGTAACAAATAAATACTTTACAGCATGATGAATAATTTTTATAAAATACGTTAAATATTTATAAAATGAATATTTTCATTAACATCATATTAATTATATGATTCGGTAGAATATGAATGTCAATTACTATGACATTATACAATAATTTTTACAATATGAATCAAGAATAGGAGTTTTTCATTTATGAGTATCATTTCCTTAATTAATACATCACATAATATATTTTATGTACCAGAAGACGTTTCGCGACTGGTTGATTTTCTAATTAAAGTAACATGTATTGTATACTATTTCCATCTTCCAAAAAATTTACTTTAACGACAAAATCAACCAAAGATACAATTGAATATTTTAAATAATAATTTAATAAATTTCATCACTTGAATCGTTTAATATTTTAAATAATAATTTAGTAAATCACAATAATTTTCTTTAATGATAATATTTTTCAAGATTAACATATTTTGCTGAGTTATTTTAACAAAAAATGAAATTAGAAATACCGTTTAGTTATACTGTATTATTTATTAACCACTTTTTTTTAGTCAGGATTTTCAGAGTAATCTTTCCGTGTCCGTTGCATAAACTCATGCACGTGCCCAGATGTTATTTGCATGAGCGAATGCAACCAGGCACGATGACTTAGTTTGTAAAATTTATAATAAACTATACGTGGGCGACTGACATTGCGCTAGTGTATCGTGCACGACGCAATTTCCACATGTGTGTGTTTGTGGTTAGGATGTGGAATTGCGTCGTTTAAAAAATTCATTATAATTACAAATAAATTTTCATTTCGTGACAATGCATTCCTACGAATTGTAATATTAATATCAAACTTTTATACTATTTACCTGATAATTGTTGGTATTATCGTGTACATATTTGTTGCATATAAGAAGGATATAGTACACAATACTTAATGAAAAATGAATCTTACATAACAGAATTAAGCAAAACAAAAACGATTATTCTATATACAATATATTTATCAAAGACTATGTTACATCAACACGTTATATGTAAATGTTTAATATATAATAGAAGTACGGAATGGTCACTAGCGTTTGTTAGTCGATTTCAGGAAATGGTACGTACCTTAGAGTGTGAATGTTGTGTGAAATGTTCGGGTGTCGGGGGCGTCCCCCCTAGTTTAGGCCGCGCCCGAACATTATGTGTGAGAACCGTGGAGTGTTTGTTTGCGAGAATGTGTTTTGCTACTTTTTAAATATAGGGTTAGGTAGGTAGGTAACTTATTTTCTGGTGTGTGTGTATTAGAGCTAAGTAGGTAGGGGCAGGGCAGGGCTGTCACAGTCTTTTTTCGGGCAGGCGCGTTTCCGAGTGGCAGTCCTATACCTGTAGTTCGATTTTGAGAGTCGAAACGATAGCCGATCCAAACAGATTATACTGTTTGTTTTGGTTTTACTTTTGATTCTTGAAATCGTGCGACTTTAGAGTCGCTCTTCGCGCTCGCGGTCGTGGCTAGCCCCCCTCGAAACGCTCGTCCCACTCGAGTTTCTACACGCTTGTTCCAATAACGATTTCTAGAATTGTTAGAGGACTGCGTATTGCACGGAATCTCGAGCCTAGGCTTAAGTTTCAGGCTTGGGCAGGACCGCCCGAAGAATGAAGAGGCCCTGACAAATTGTCGCAAGAGTGGGCTGCAACAAATGGCTCTTCATCTTCATCTTCGGATGAGCATGGAAAGTCATTCTTTGTTACTACTTAGTCACTGTTCTCGCCTGTAGTTGTAGTAGTAGCAATTTTTCAGATGGTATTTGTATCACAACGATCAGTATTTTTGAGCAAATCGCGATTTGCATTAGTGTTGCGTAATACGAATGATCGCGTTTACCTTCAAGATAGCGTTGCGAATATTGTAAACTTATCGCGATTCCACTTAGCGTTGCGAACTGAATATTTTCGCGTTTGCTTTCAGAGTAGTGTAGCGAGTAAACACTGACCGTGGTTTCCATTAGAGTTGCGTAAAATGAATGTTATTCGCGTTGCTTGTCTAGTTCTTTATGCAAATGATTAGTTTTATAGTTAGTTTTAGAGTTGCGATCAATGAGAATTTTTCGTGCTTTCTTTCAGAGTAGTGTTGCGTGTAAATATCTCGGTTTGCATTAGCGTTGCGAGATATAAATATTAATCGCGTTGCAAATATAATGAATCGATTTTGATTACTTTTAGAGTTGCAATCGGTTATATTTTTCACGTTTATTTCTGGAGTAGCGATGCGAATATTCACTGATCGCGTTTTGTTTTGATATAGCGTTGCGTTATATGTATAAAAATGCTCAAAATGATACTGATACTTGCTCCAGCATCACGAAGCAGCCTGGAACGCCTGTACTCGTCAACAAAATTAGCGTTGTGCATTGTTTAATACGCGATTTTATTTTTCAGTGTGGTGATCAGAAATCATGAAGCTGCTGAACCAGTTGGACGAGCCGTGATTCTTCACAGGTTGAGATAACTGCGCTGGATCATTATAGGTAGCGTTATACATTATACATATAGTTACACCTGCCACTAATCGTCATGAAATTTAGGGTTGATGAGAGGGGAAAAAGAATGAATATCAAATATAAAATTAAAAACTTTTTTCATTACAATACAATGAAGAATTTCATTTCAATTTCGAATACTTACAACTATTAATAACTAGTAACTATCGTTGTGGTAGTAAAATATATTAATTCTAAATATAAATTGAACTAACATTCCTAACTTGTATTAATCGTAAAAGCTGTTTACAAATATTACGAAATACTAAAAATCTGTTTCATACAAATATTTATTAAAAGCTTATATGTTTCTGATTGTGTAAAGCAACCAGGTACAAAATCTATTACATAAATTTATTGGCAAATGTATAAAGATCTCTGAAATTTGGACGGATATTTCCTTAGACCAATATCAGTCTTCTCTTATAATATAAAAGTTCTACACTTTGAAACCTTTGAACTAATTGTACATTAATGACACTGAAGTATGGTACTTATGCGATTACAATGTTGATAGTATTAAATATTTATAAAATAAATAGTAATAATCAAGTTAAATATAACACACAATGGCGTTTTTCTGGGTTAATTATTAGTTATTGTAAGTAATACTCTTCATCTGGTTTTGTGTAGAAATATACAAAATAAAATATAGTAAATCCATCTATAAATACACTGTATCTTACTTTGGTGTCAATCAATGTACTGTATGTCATGTAAATAGAGTTTTATGAGTGCTTATGGCCATAGTAACTCTATGTTTGGAGATTGCAATTTTTCAAATACTTTGTACATTGATAGAACAACTAGCCAACAATATATCTGTAAAAACATATAAACATATATAAATGCATACGTGGAAAGATTTAATACAAAAGCAGTAATCATGATCCACCCAATCATAACATTGTATCAACATTAAAGGTCAATACCGCTTGTCATTGACGAATATCGTCATGGTATAAACGCTTTCTTTTAAAATTAGAAACAAATATTATTTGAATATATAAAGTAAGGCATTTTTCGTCACAGCACATAGAAAGTCGATTTGTTCATCTGGTTTGCATAGTTATATGTCTTTTATCACCTGTAAACTATAAACTATAAACTGTAAACTGTACTCCATTTTGTACTATCTTCAAGATTTGATTGGATGTAAGTTTAACATAGATGAACAATTGAATTTGTTGCTTTATAAAAATCGAGTGTTATAATGTTGTTTCTAATTCTAAAACAAAGCATTTATTCAAAATTTTGTACAACATCTCTTTCCCCTACTGACCTCTAGATTAACTCTAGAAACCACAGAATATCCTGTATATGCGAGATAAAAGGTTAGAAATGTAAAAATAATAGCAATTATGTTAGAATCGACCGTTTTCGAGCCTGTACTTATTGGAAATTAATCCGAATCGTTAGTGGACACGTATTCAATTGAACCACGTGTATTTGTTCATCACTAATGAACAAGACATGTAAAAAAAATAAACGAAAACTGCGCACAACAGAAAATAATTGCCATTCCAAAGTACATTATAAGTGCTAAAAAATTTGAAAAGAGAGATACAAAAATGGTTAAAAAAGCAAAAGGAGCAACTTTCAATACCTGTTTTGAAAAAGAACATTTTACAATGGATGATGCAGATACAATATCAAACTTATGATGTTACTACAACGTTACAATTGGATGGATTGTGGCTACTGCTTTTAGATTATTAAATACTTACATTATATGACATCCAAAACCATATACACATTGCTGCAAACGTTGCATCAAGCTGGGAAAAAAATATCACAAGATCAGAGATTAATGAATATATTACGATAGAGTATTTGCAGAACAGCTAAGAACTTACATAGATATAGTAACCTCCTACGAGCCATAGTCCAAAAACCATTTGGAATAAACATGCAATGAACCATAATATAAGCCAAGGAAGTAGCCATCCTCGTATTCCCTCTTTTATTCCATACACCACTAATAATGCTGCCATGGTTAAGAGAATAAAGTAGAATATGAAGAGACCTCCAAAAACTTGCATAGCTGGAAAATTATAAGTCTAATATACGAATGCAATGATATTTATTTGTATTAATACGCATTACAACTTACATCCTCTGACATCAGCCTCAAACAAAGGATTATACAACTGCGTTGAATCTCCTCCACTTAATTGATAACAGATTAGTGCAACATGTATTATACTAAGTGCCTGAAATGTGAAAAGGTTGTATTAAAAAATAATGAAAGTGGGTACACAATAAATAACGCTAATACAAAAATACTTACAATTGTGTAAAAAGCAATAGCTCTGGATCCTGTCCTAATATCATTTGTCCAAACAAATGGTGACCAACAGGACTTCAAAATCGCCATTTTTCTGTTAAAAGAAATATTTATATATAACTAATTTTATTATACTCATCAGTCCACTAAATACAAATGATCGAACTAACAATCCTCACCCACTTGTTGTTATTAGTTCATTGAATACCTGGGCGTTAACACACAACAGGTCTACCAATCACGAACACTAGAAACTAAAAGTACCTAGGAATAAGAACGTGCATTTGTTAATTTGTGCCCCGGTGCAATTTTTAATTCTAAATTACATTATGTTCATTTGTATATATGTAGGATCAATATTATTAGAGGGCGATAATATTAAATACCGTAATTATGAACGAAGAAAACTTGTCCAGAAAGATGTATAATAATGAGGATACTTCATCTAGGGACTAATTGCGGGTAAAAGTATAATTAACGTAAATACTTTGCACAATGGGGTAAAAGAGATATTGTATTTATCAAGATGTCTCATGCACTGTTAATTTATAGGCAACAATTCAATAATTCACAAAATATCAATCTTTATTCACAGTTTACTTATAAGTCTCAAAGGAAATTAATTTTTCCAGTTAATTTCCTTCTGTAATATCTTAGAATATAGGTCATCAATATTCGAGCTTTTTAACTGTTCAAAAAATATTTCTAGACTAGAAAACAGTGCTATACATGCGTCTGTAGGCGTATTCTTAATGACGCCGCGTTGAAGTTTAGATCCCCTCTACTTGGTAAGCGGGTCACGATGCCGGCTGTTTCAATTTACAGAGTGCTCATCTTAATTTCCAGAATTTATTCTACTGAAAGACAATGAAAACGTGAATTTTCATATTGGTAAAAAAAAAGATGAAATACGTTAAGTATATAAATGATTTAATTGTAGTATTGAGTTTAGTCATTAAGTGTTAAAGAAATGGAACTATTCACAGTGTAGTTACAGTATAATTGTAGTACAGTGTAACACAAAGCTTCTCGTAAGAATAATTTCTGATTGATAATACCTTGTATAAATCAAAATTGCAACATAGATTTTTTAGTTATAAGTGATAAATAAGCGTATTTCGTAAGAAAGTTTTAGTTTCATTTACTGATTACAAGTACTATAAATTATATTCATTAATGCGGTCGTCGAAGTATAAAGTGAACACAAATAAAGACTTCGGAGGGCACTATATTTGCCGTTAATTGCATACATAAAACGATGGCATGATTTAGTGAGCTAGTTATAGTTTGAAGAAAAAGACAACCTGTCACTTGGATGCATCTTGCATGTTTTGCATTGATAACGCATCTTGACAACGTAAAGTTACAAATATTGCAGTTAATATATGCATATTACCAAGAGCCAAGCAGCAGTCGGTGATTAACCCGTAGAAAATGTAGTTCAATGGTTTCGAATTACCAGCTTGTGGTTTCCGCGGTGAGCAGCCATTTTGGTACCGCAAAAGAAAATAAACCGCTTGAAACCAGATAAGATCTGCGACTGATAATGCAGTAATAAAACAAAACAGACCCCCGTCGACTGCACTGGATGTTAAGTCACGTAAACTTACGTAAATATAATGATAGGGATCTCTTATCTGATTGCATACTCGCTGATAGTGTCAATAACGGAACTCGTGAAACAATGAAGTTATAAGCACGACAATCGCGTTGACAGAAGAATCTGTTATCCTTTCTAAACAGCAACAAGAATCTTAGTCAAGAACGTAGGAAATACCTTATCGAAGCTCATAACAAATCGTTTTAAACGATCTAATTGGAAACAACAATGTATCTTTGTTACAACGTTACGTACTTAGTAAATTCTTAGATCGAACGTTAATAATAGAATGTCAGAAGGTTCACAATTCAATGATACGGTGTGTAACCCATGCGAGGATTTTAAATTCCTATAGTCATCGAACACAATAGCTCAGTATGTAATAGACAGAGTATTTTCCAAGTTAACAAAATTGCATGGTATCAAGATGTCGTCATAATACGTTTATACTTTGCGTTGTGGGAGTATTTAGACTGTATAACATACCCTTATGAAGAAATCATTAAAGTGTAATTCTAAGATAGTATGCTAGAAAATCATATGCAAATGTAATGTGATTTTCATGATATATCCACTGTATTACAAAAGGAAAGAACATATTTAGAACTAAACTAGTGGGAAGGGTAACGTGGCAGTTACATCTTCGAGCCAAGCTATTACAACTAGAGTTTATACCAAACTTGATTGCACTTAATCTACAGCAACACGAAAGTACTCGTTACTCTGGACGTATCTAATATTAAAGGAATTGCGGATATTACATACATTGTTTCAAGGGGAGAAGAGCGCTACGTTGCCGCAGATGTTACAGTAAGAAAGCACGGATACTTTGCGTAGTAGCGCGCCAATCTTAGAGCAACAGATGCGTTTCGTAGTCTCGCAATGCTGGCTAGTCCAAAAGCTATAAATATATAAGCATGAATGCGTGGAACTCCTCTCAATGCCTCGGACCATCAAAATTCTCTGTCTTACTCTCTCGCACTATTCTTCTCTATCGTTTTCTAAGATAGTTGGCCACCATGTTGGCAATTCTAGAGGGTGATTATAAAGTGTGATTCACACTTGGAGAATGTTTGGTGTTTGAACAAAACAAAAGCGTGTGTGTATGTTTCTAATACGACATATCGAATTCATATTGTATTCTATACGATACATCTAACACAAAAATTTGTTTATACGTGAAATATTATTAACTACAATAAAATATCATTTCCTTTGATAAAGTGCTAACTGAAAGAAACTGGAATGATTTATACCGTATTATTATTAAGAAATCATTAGACCCACTGTCTTGGATAGCGAAACACGAGGAAGGAGAATAATGTCTGCGGTGCAGATTATAATACTGCAATTCATTTCACGTCCACGTACTAAGTGTGAATTAGCCTTAAACTGGCTCTCAATTTAGGTGTCGGTTGAAAGCATCGCGTACAACGTTGCCGCCGTTTCCATTCTTGAAGGCATATCTCGGCCTCGTGAATGGTAAGTCTCGTGGCGTTGCCGTTACGTAGTTAGTAAGGGCAACACCAATAGATTTTCAATGAACAGCTGGCACGTGACTTTGCCTATGCTTACGCAAAATAGATGAACCGAGCGTAATTAATTAATGCATTATCTCATTACAACCGGGAAAAGGTTAAACGTCTCGGAAGAATGTAATTTGCACAGCTCGTTAAGTTAATTTTGAGTAATTTTTGAACGTATTACTCGTTTAAAATGAAAGATAATAACGCACAGTATGCAAGTAACTAAAAGAAGTTAATTGTAAATATAAAAGTCGAAAATGGAATTGTTTCGGAGTTTTCGGACCTATTAAGAATTTAAACGGAAAACGAAGCTTGTCAGGATTTTAAATTGTCCGAGCGTGGATTATCTGTAATTAGAAACTGAAATTTTCTCACGTACATCCGAAAATAAGATATTACCTACGTACGAATTTGGAGTAAACCTTCGACAGTTACCGGAAACATCGTTACAAATTTTATCTTAAAAGGAAAAATGTTAAAGGAATACAGTCAGGAGAATACTGTAAAATGTAGTAGCATTCAATCGAAAAGAAGAGATTACTGAATGTCATTAATAGTTCCATCGTGCGATATTAGTGTATGATTTCACGACTCGAGCAAAATTCAAATCGATTCGAATATACTATATCGCCTTACCAAAGACAATTATGTGAGAAATATTTTTAATTGTTCCATAAAATGTTTTATTCAGTACTAATCACGATGACATTCACGAATTCACTGAAACTTGAGAAACGAATATCATCCACAGCAAACGAGTTGATTGGAAAAAAGACTTTTACATAAAATGTTCACGTCGTTAGCTATAAATTTTAAGATGTGCTGAATAAATCACTGAAGTGTAATTAAACTTGTCCGTTGGCATTTCGCTTTTCAAGCGAGTTAACACAGCGTGTGTTGCGGACAGGGAATTGGTTCACAAAAAGTTGTTGGAACAACTTCACATTTCACGTTGAAAGCGCACGGAGAACAACTATGCGATACCGTACAGCTGACTTCGAATTAAACTCACGCGATTGCATCAATTTTGGGATCGAAGATTTGTAATTTTGAAATAAATCCTACGTTTTATATCCAAAGGGGTATAAACTTTCGATACTACTTTCGACCTGCGTTCAAACGTTTCCCGTTTTGTGATAGAAATTAACACTTTTGTCAAGAAGAATAATTTTGTCAAGAAATAAAAGAGAATTTACATTTCTCGTCAGAGTCGCTCGTGCACCGAGGTGTCAGAGTTATCTGAAACACGATATACTCGACTTCTTTTGTGCCGACGACTTCGCGTTGGCTTGCGCTTCTGTGCTATCTTCTCCTATTCTTAACACGATGGAAATCCACGGTTGGTTCATAAATCGTACAGTTACAACGTTAAAAAGAGCCTAAAAATGCTTCAAGTGCACTGCCAAGACGACCGCCATTCGAATCACACATTTTTCCCGCCAAAACGAAAATATCAAATCGGGGGCACGATAAATTAAGAAAAAGGATCGATTTACGTCGCTGAACTTGCACGAGTCCGCAACGATCCAACGAGAGCTCGATCATAAAATCCAGTCGCGATCGTTTAAAATAAAATTCTTATCGCTCTAACGTGACCGCACAATTTTGGACGAGGAAACGGAGCGAACGGACGCGATGTAATTTCGAGACACTGCGAGCGAAGAAATTCTCCCAGTTCCACGCACACGTCCAACGGGTCGGAGTTAAGAGAAAGGCGATATAGGGGTCCCCTCTAGTGAGATTGGGCCCCGTTCGGGTCTCTCTCGCACACTCTCTCGCGACGTCGAAGGTTTCCTTCGCACCGGTTCGTGCCGTCGGGTCCGGCTCGGCTCGTGCACATACGCCATGGTCTCTCGTGTCGAATCGGACCAGCTTCGTGGTGCCCAGCTGGATCCGGACGCCCATTTGTCGTTCTTGAACTCCTCGTCGTCGGCGTACTCGCGGCCCAACCGAACACCAGATATCCGTTCTCGATCGGTCTGTCGTCTCGCTGTGGAAACGAGCAGCGTGTCTCGGTGATCTGATGTAACCCCCTTCTCTCTGCCGTGAAACCGCATCGGCCGTGTGTATCGCTTCGATTACACCAGAACGGTTGAGCGTCGCCGAGCGGTCCCAACGCTGGATCCCGTAGAGCGCACTTGCTCGTCGCCGATGCAGCCTGCATTTTATCGCGCGCGCGGCTACGATTCATCCGCCGATCGCGCTGCTGATCGAATCTGCTGAGCCCGCTGGACCGCCGCCGAACCCGATTCGCCCTCGGTGATCGACGATCCCAGGACCATCGACGCTTTTTTCCTGCCCCCGCCGGGTCCTGGACACAGCGATCCATCGTCGAGGACAGGATTTATCGATTGAAGTTTGAGCAGAAAACTCAGTGGAACGTCTCGTTGACACCCGTGTCCCGTAAGCTCGTTGGATTTGGTGGTTCGTCGGTGTTGTGCTGGTTTTCGCGCAGATGATGGTACTGAGTGTTTGCTTGTTAACGCGGCCACGGGAATTGAGAGGTTAAGCGAGTCGAATGATACGTTCTAAAGATTGGAAGCTTTTTTTGGGGAAAGGAAGGTCGAACGTTTGTCACGGGGAAAGCAAATGTTTCGGCGAGGTATTCTATTCTATAATTAATCAATTAATCGTTCGGAGGAACGGAGGTGACGGGTGATTTTCTCGCCGGAACTGGTTTAAGTGGTTCGCATTATCATCTTTAATATGCTACTGTTACGGAATATAATTCCGCGTATAACTCGAGGAGATTAATGTTTCCATTGCAACCGGGGCACGGAGTTCGTGGAGTAAATCAAAGCGTTCGCGGTGTCGTTTCTCGTAAACTGATAAAGCGATACGTGCACTTACGGCCGATTAAGATAAAAGTACGGTGCTCTTGGGAAATAAAAATATTTATGTACGTCTGTTGACCGACGTCGGTGCTCGTTCCAGCGCGCTATCAGCGTCCCGAGTGATTCGTGATCAATTAAGGTACGAAAATTGATCGTGCGGCGAAAAAGTTTTCAAGTGAAAGTGCTTTCGTATCGTCGCGGTGCTGCTGCATTCCGTGCGTTTAATTCCAAGTGCATTCGTGATTAATTAAGATCGGAGAAAAGTGATCTAGCACGGTCGAAGGATCCTGAAGGATACCTACGGTGATACGTGACTTCCGATAGAAAAATGAATTCGTGATTTACTAATCTAGTCGCATTGACTTTAAGATTACCTGGCAGAGAAGTAGCCCAAAGTGTGGACAAGTTTTTGTTTTGTTGGTTACCATTTGCGGATCTACGAACAAACTCGCTGTGAATCCAATATTATGATAATATTATCTTGCTCCGATAAGGCTCGCAATACGCGACAGTTCTGATACGAATCGCTCGATCTGGCCGAACAAAGATTTTCGATAAATGTTTGATTACGTTTGAACAGAGGGAGCAACGTGTTTTTTTTTTTCTCGACGAGTTAATTTCGCGAATCGTTTGGGATCGAAACGAAATAGGAAAGGGCAAAACGAAGTGGAGCGTATTAGATTTGTCGAACATTTGTTATCGTTATCCGTGCAGAGCTGTTGTCGAGTAATGTTCGCGGTTGAACGACATCGAATCGACGATCGTCTGGAAACGACACACGATGTGGCGAGTTCGAAAATAAGAAAAATTTCGGTTTCAAAGTGCAACGTGCCAACGTCGTGTTTTGTAGTTCGCGTATCGCTAAAACGGCATCGGTGATACTACGTCGTGCATGAAACACAATCGATTTTACGAAGTTCTTGTTATGGATATCTGCATGTCTGTTGAACGGGAATACTTCCTCAAGTGGAATTACGTGGATGGCATCGAGGGAAGCATTGTCGAACCTTTGCAGGAGTAAGTACTCGCTGCACGTGATCCTTATCATAAATTATTAAATGCGACTATCGAGTAGTACAGTTAATATTCGAGTTTGCATTAACGAAAATGATATGTGAACGGAATAAATGAGACGTACAATCCCTTCAGAATACTGGTAGACATTTGTAACTTTGAATATCAGGAGTTAGCATGAACTTGAATGCGTAGATACTGTAGTAAGTGAGAGTTCAAGGCGAATGATCGAAGCGCGAGACAAAGCCAGAAGCGATAAGAGCAAAGCCAAATCAAACACGTACGAATGAAATGTTAGAAACAGGAACAAATTAGCTCTTGTGCGTGTTTGATAAATAGGTGCAATGCGTGAGGATGCTATATAATCCGGGAGACTACAATTGATGAATAATTTATCCCATTTCGCGGTCGCTTGCTTATTTACGTAGTGCGTTTTATTAAAACTACATAAGTACCATATGAAAGTTTGAATTGCTTGTGATGCAAATACTTTGACAATTTATACTGGCTGGCGTCGAAATTTCCATGCAGAAGTAAAGCAATGGAAATGTGTGTCATCTAAATGACAACAATGGAAAATTGCTATTTGGATTTTATTTTTGACCATAAGCTCAAGATCACTGTGATTTCGTGTATCCCAAAGAAAGGGACGATTTGTAACTCTACCAAACAACATATCGCACGAGGAAAGAAGTAGGGACAGAAGAAAACAAAAAATCTGAGGTCATAAAATATTATAATATAATGAAAAGAGATGTAGGTTACCACCTATCGATGACAATTTTCGAAAATGCTTTAGGTATTTTTGCTTGCAATACCTTGGTCATATTTACATCTCCGTATCCCTCATGGCATACAAATAACGAGTATCGTCGACGCCATTTCTTGACCGAAATTGGAAATTCTTTGGTGCAACCATATATTGCATCACGTACTCATGTCCCTTGAGCTTCTACTGCTCACTGAATTTTTCAAGGAGTACAAGGAACGTCACAAGCAATTGTACCTTCTTCTAGCGATCGTTTATCACTTACACCAATCATTGAAAAACGGGCTCTCTGTCATGTGACTCAAAACAAGTCCAATGCAAGCGTGCATTTTGGTTTTCTGCTCACTGCATTATAATCGAGTTTGGTTGTGTATTTTCATCAAAACACAACACAGACAAAAATCGATATCCTAAATGTGTCAAGTACTTTAATGTTATCAGTAAGTGAACTCGGACCTCTAAAATAAAAATGTCTAACAAACTCCTAACTGTCACGAAAAGAAATATGGTAGTATGTATCAGATACTGGGATAATATAGTCGCTTATACCAGGAATGTGAGTAGTAAACACAGTGTAGAATAAACAAAATCGACATATATGTATATCTATTTATCTATATAATTTCAAAATGAATTCAAAGTGAATTATCATATTGAACACAGTCGTCACAGAACTAAAAATATTCTACTCCTCGTATCTAATCTAGATTTCATACATACTACAAGATAACCCATATAAAAGATACTCCAAATGATGCTTGAGTAATATTGGAGCAATATACTAACTAACTTTATTTTAAACCATAAAAGTAACAAAGCCTTACATAAAATTCGAATTTTATGACAAGGTAATAACAGGAAAACAACGATCGTTACAATATTGTTAACAGTTATAAAAGAATTCTCTATTCTAATATTCAAAACGTTTGAACAATAGATCCTATATTACTCACCGTGCAGATACGAGCCCCAAATCACTTATTAATCATAGCAGTGTCTAAAGTACACTCCACCTGCTGAAGTCTCCCAGTTAAAGTGTAACAGAATCACGATCCGTATCCTCCAAGAGAATGAGTGCAGCTTCGATAACCGTATGAGAAAGTACAATGGAGCATGTTGGTCCGCTATTTATGAATATAATGTTCGATCGTCCTGCGCAGCACCGAGCCGTTGTTCGAGCGGAAAAGATCTCGATTTTTTATCGATCGGTGAAAGTCGAAGTTCGCTGGTAATCTCTGCAATGCCGGAAGCCCTGCTGCTCCTCGCTGGTCGTTGCTGGGGAGGAAAGAAATCGGCATTGTGTTAAGAATGCTCGTTGCCTCGCCGCGTGCGCCAAGTCTCTCTAACATGGCACATTACGTTGCACCGAAACGACGAACCGTGACGGGTGTCGATATTTTTTTATTCCCATTTCATAGATGGTCTCCACCGGGGGATATAAATCGCGTGAAAATCGAGGACGAATCTTGATCCCCGCGACGATAAAGAAACGCGTGGAACGAGGGACGAGAAAGTGGCTGGTACGCGAATCGCTCCGGTGCATGCGCAATTTTCGTAGCCAGCTTTTGCAAGCCTGTGTTTTTAGACTCCAATGGAAACCGAGGGAAAGCATTGCAATACGTTGAAGTAATTTTTTGAATGCACGAAGTCGAAGTGAAGAAATAAATTTTTTGTTCGACTTAGAAAAGATACAAGTTAAATAAAAAATTATACGTACGGTAAAATAGGATAATTTTGACCATTAGGTGTACGATCATTTTTCTTTAGTATTCTCGATGCAAGGAGAAATAATATTCTTTATATTATTCTAATAGTAAAATAATATAATATGATACATCGACAGAACTGAGTTTCATTTACATACATATAAAGTGGCATTAAGAATTCTTTAGTATTGATTTAATAAATGTTACAAGTCATATTTTTTTAACCATAATCGTGCTCTCTGCTGCGTCATTAATAGAGGAATTCCGCATGGCGGACGTAGCAATCAGTTTTGGCAGCTGAATCAAGACAGGTGCGAAAATATTCAAATAAGATTTTCCTTATCGGTGCCGTCTAACCAAGACCTATTATTGGCGCTGAAGTAAATTTTCTCGTTCCCAGAATGATTCATGCATTCATAGTTAACGAAGATATTACCGATTAGAAGAATGCATCTGCTTTATTTTCAGAAAGGGAAACTTCCTTTACAGTAACGGAAATTGTAGTATAAATGTGCTTCTGCAGTGAGTTATTTCACACTGATCATTAGCGCGGTATCATGTTCAATCGTGCGTGAAGAATCAATTTATCGTAGACCCGCGTCACTCGCATCATCATTTTTTATCAGACGTAACACACGATGATCTACGAATTATGAATACGTAGCTGGCTTTGTGGTATTTAATTCATTTACATTACGGTAATTTTAATTTCCTTCCTATAGCTATGGTTTCTTATGGCTTTTTTTTATTGAGGAACCCTTAAGTAGATGCACGAGGTCTGCCAAATACCAACTTGACTTTCTGCTAGTTTTTTTTATATATTTTTAAAAATTTTTATTTATGTAAAAATGATCGAATTTAAATCAAATAAGAATCAACTATAAATCGTATGAAGTTAGTGATACATATTATCAGCAGTAGAGATAGAATCGAATATCATTATTGAGGTATAAAAAATGGAGCATATATTTAGACTGCTTAAATAATATGGATACTGGAGACGTTCTTAAAGTGAGTGAATTTGAATCAATAATCTGCAAATGCATAAACGCATAGGTATAATTGTGTATATACTTATACAATTACAGAAGCTTCTTTTCCCTTGCATTAGTGTATGGTAGAACACAATACCTTAGTTTTTTTACTAAAATACAAATGAGATGCGTTCCAAAATAATAAAGTCATCCTAGAATGTATTCGTATGTTTATTCTTTCTGTATTTGTAGATTTGAAAACAAAACGTAATAATTGTCTATAGATAAGCAGCATATATGGAATACTGTTGGTAATTTAGAATACTGAAGTATCTTAAACAGTACTAATATAATAATATCACGAATAATAGAATAAATAACCTGTTGACGATTGATATTTGTGAACGAATCATAATTTTATCTAATTCATCTTAAACAAACTACTATTTCAAATATGCTGGATTTCTCTAAACAATTAAATTAAGTATCAAACAAATTTCTTTAAAACATTAACACAGTGAAGCACATTTGGCTTGAAAAACAGGCAAAACTATCATAACTTGTTTAAGATTTACTTGATATTGATAAAAAGAATATAATTTTAAAGCCTGAATTTTCTACTTTTCGAACCTGTAAACGACTATAGATTAAATCGAAGTTCAAGTGATAGAAATCGCTCTTGCAGAGGAGTATATAAATTTAGATTTTTTGGAGTGCTTAAACTACCACACTTTTTCTAAAATTTATCCGAAGTTAATAAAAAAAATCATTTTAAAGCTTGTTATAAAATCTCTTTACTTTCGACAATGTATACGAGTGCATAAATGGGGAAAAATATTAGTATGTATAAATTTGGCATAAGATCCATAAATCTTGCAAACGTAAATACTAAGAGAAACTTTAGATTGTTTAGTTTACAATTGTCTGAAATCAAAATTTTGGAAAATCACTTTGCAAAACAGTTTTGCACAGTGTTAGGCAAAATTTTAAGAGTCGACTTTCGGTTAGTTCTTCGATGCAAACACTCCACGGTTCGTCGATTAAAGATCTTCAGAGAAGTTCTCCCAAAGAGTCGACAGTAAACATTGAAGACCCACGGTATTCGGGCTGTCTCCCCTCCTCGAAGCCGCAAAAGGGGGATGTTCCTGGTCGCGGCATGCACTTGCTTTCCAAAAGACACGACGTATAAATACCACCTCGTTTCGGGTCCTCTCTCCCCGCTGTCTCGTTCTCTCCCTCTCTCCTCTCTCTGGTAGCACGGAGTCTATTTAGATAATCTTCCGCTTAGCGGGAGCGGCACTCGGTGCGGCAAGGGAGCCTCTTCTTCGCGAAGGCTTTCACCAAGGTGGCATCATATTCCTGATCCGCGAACCGACCGCGTTTCTTCGATCCTCCTCTCGTCTCCTAGCCGGTGCCAGTGTTCGATAGAACTTTTTGGCGAACGCCACGCCCGTGCCACCCAAACGTTGCTGTTTCGTGACTCGTCAGTCGTTCGACGACGCGACCTTGAGCCAGAGGCCTCGAGGACATCGCCGGTACCGGTGCTCGTGCGAC